CATCGGTTTGATTTAAATTAGTTAATAAACTTTAGAAGGAGGGAAGCTGAAGAATTCTAAACTATCCCATCCGATCCACCCCATTGTGATACATATCAGGTGAATTTTACGCATCATTTATCTGAGGTACCTAAACAGTAAGTCTTCGTGTACTTAAAATTAGGGACTTAGAAAACTATAAAATGAATCTCTTGCAGTGTCTACTGGTTATTGTATTATGGCCAATCGTAAGGCAAAAATTTAAACTCTCGTGGCAATCAAATGTTGCAATAAAGGATCAAGACTCAGGGAACTGGGAGGAAATCGAAAATAAGCCTGAAATGTTAACTTTAAAGTTTCGATTGCACAATAATTACGTAATTGACACTTGAATGCTTCATGTTTCAGAATTGACACCTTTTGTAATCGCAGCAGACTCGTATTCATGGCATCCAGACTGGCTGGAATACCACTTCTATTTTACCCATGCTTTCATTTTCGGAACAAATTAATCAAACTATATTCCAAGTAAAATACGTTATAGTCATGAAAATGTTAAAACTCCAATTTCAATCTCACTTATGGATGGCTTGGCAAAGTTGGAAATGAAATACCCCTTCCCAGCTCTAGTTTTGTGTCTTTTTTACCTTCAGTATACTTAAAAAGTCCATTTCACTTGACAACCTTTTTTAAGGTGGTTGGTAGACATAGGAATGAATTCACGTACGCTTGGGTAGGAGACCGATTGCAATTCCGATGCTGCGCATTATTTTTTGTCACTTGGAGAAATTCTATTTCTTAACTTGATTAGAAAGAAAAAAAATTAGCGATTTCATTACTCTCATTCTTCTTACTGCAGATTGTTTGCATCATTATCTGAGTGAAATTTGGGGTCTTTAGTGTTACCTTAAAAACTCAGTAAATTTTGACCTTACCATATTTCACATTTTTTCACCTAAATGCTGAAATTACGCAATTGTTTTTCGTTTCATCCTTTAAAGTTATGTACTCCTCATTCAAATTCTAGTTCCTACTGCTCATTCCACTCTATTAGTCCAAACATGGATGGATGCTCATCGTATTCTGCCCTCGGACACATTGTCCCTTCCTTTTCACTGCGCACGCGAGGATTAAGAGAGAGTGAGGTGCATAAAAGAAACGAAGTGACCCCCCCCCTCACCAATTTTCCAGTGCCTTCAACATTTCATTTTGGAGGGGTAAAATAATGACAATTGGCACATGGTTCAATTATGTAGTACATAAAATGAAACGTAGTAACGTATCGAAAAAATCTAAACGTCAACATCACCGCAACATCTCATATTTCTATGCCTCTTTTTTTACATAAATGAAAAGAAAGTTTTTCTTTCCCACCTAAAAGTCCCGTTTCTTAACCTCCTCCCCCTTCCGCTCCCTTATTTTAACTATATTTTACGCTCAGTGTGTGTGCCTTTGTTTGGTGTTGTGGATTTGATAAGATTGTATTTGCATTTATCACTAGTGCAATTACTTAATTAATTTAGGGCTCTTTTGCTACTTGAAAAGCAAATCATGACAGCGTTGAAGTTTTGGCTTTAGGAGACTGCACTTGGATGAACACTACTGAGGTTTGCCGTTTCAGTCAATTATGTAAGCCACCTTACTCATCAGAAAAGAAAATTACTTGTTAATCTGTAAATCAATATAGACACTGTGACTCGTGTAGTGGATTGGCGCCCCTCACAATTCAATTCAGATGTAAACTTTCTTCCATAATCGGACAAATTTGGGTTGGGCGAGCCAAAACATAAACGAACAAATACAAACCTTCCTTCACTGTGCTAGTGCCTACTTATATTTTCGCTCATGCGACTTGAAAATTGAGCTCCAACCGAGGATTTCCAATATTAATTAGAAACGATGTTTGTCTGAATTTAATCATCTGGCTTACATGCACTAAAAACGGGTAAAAAATCTTGTAAAGTAAGCCATTACAGCCAGAATTGAACCATTATGAGAAACGAGGCAATTCCTTGCTTCCATAATTCAAATAAAGTATACTTTACCTAGCTCTGCTAAACTAAAATCAGTTAGCTACCTCATCTCTCTCATGGCAATACTCTAAGCTGGTGAAATTCAAATTAAATAATTTTGACACCTCAATCACTTGAAAAACCGAGACTTGATGCGGAAGGATTGGTCCTTCTTGACTAGAAACTACATTAAGAAATACTGATCATGATGAACAAATGTTAACTACAATTCAGGCAGAATCATGCATTTGAAACTACGAACCTTGGACAACCCACATGGCAAATATTTTGCACAAGATTCGCCCAATTTTTTTATTGCCTCCTGCTGGTTATAGAATATCTTTTTGCTAATTCACGATTAAAATTTAACTAAGCTTAATTACTAATGGCAATTAGCTACTCTTGTTCACAATGACTATTACCAGTTCTAGATAAGGTTACTTTAATCATAACTGTCTATTTATTATGCAACTATTTATTTCAACAATTTGCTTTAAGCAAAAGAAGATGTCATTTACTACATTCCAAAATAGTTCCCAGCTTTGTACAACATTATTTCAATACGCACTACCTATTATGTAATAAGTAATATTGTCGTCCTGTTTGGCACCATTTTGCCATTTTATTCTAATTTTATTGACCTAGGTTCGAATATGAGTGACTACCAACCAATATTCGTTCTGAAAAAAGGTAATGTATTTTAATAGTTCAAATTATGACCTCACTATCTTAAGACTTTACTATTTACAGCCTATGAAATCATGCATGTTATACTCCTGTTATCTGTTAACGAAGCACGTATTTACTTTAAAAATTAAAATAAAATGGTTTTGATGAATATCTCATATTATAGTTTTAGGGTTTAACAAGTGATGTGCCCAAATCTGTCCTTTAAAATAAGATTAATTAGAAGCTTAGCATATGTCCAATTTTATGAAAAATCCTTTATCTCTAATCCCCAGTGATTTTCGGGGCTTTAAACAATTTTCATTGGACTTATATCATGAGTTAAACTGGGCCTTACGTGAATGCCGGAAATGGCTAGTGTTTCACTCGTTCAAAAAGAACGAGGTGATGAATGTATGAATGCCTGAAAATTAGTGGTACACATGGAGCATACGTGTTCGGATTGATTTATAATAATAGTCATGACACAGATACCTGTATGCACTAATCACGATTTTTAGAAGGAGCAAACAATCAGATAACTTTTCAGTACCTGATCATTTTTCTGTTTTAATTGACAAGGTTCATTAGATAGAGAATATATATATATATATATATATATATATATAGCAAAACGTGCGTATTTTCCTAATTTTAGTTAAGTAAATTTATGCTCATGAAGTTTATCTAAGTTATGCATATCATACCTTTTAAAGAATTAATGTTAATGCGATTTTTAGGTGCTCTAAACGTTGGGTCCTGCAAAGCTGTTTAAGCTAGGATTCGATTATGTTACAGATGATCAAAATACATTTTACCTCTGGGAATTCGAACTGATCCCCTACTATAGGGGTTGCAAAATAAAATCTTTGGGTATACCCAAACTTCTAAAGGGTTTAGAAGTTTTGAAAACCACTGTAACGAAGTCGAGATACTTAGTGTGAATAAACAGAATTGAAATTCACTAACAAGAGTTCTATTTTGAGTCATTTTGTAATTATTTCTTAATTAAATAATTCTTGAAAAATAATTCCAGTTCACAGCTTAGAAATATCTAAAAACATATAGTAACGAAAAACTTCGGGCAAGAGCATTTGTTTGCTCTGATAAAGTGGGAACTCTTTTGTTATGAGGTAGTGTCAAGTAGGAACAAAATTAGAGTCAATATTTAAAAAAATATAATGATAAAAACTGAATTTTCTTCAATGTCAACCTGTCCCAAAATTTATGATTTTTTATTATATTAAGGATAGTGGTAAAGGTCGTCAGATTACATAATAATATAATTCTAATTACACATATCTTGATACCAGTTAGGCTAAACAAAAAACAACATCTTTGGTATTGTGAGCTTTAAACCATTTAGATACTTTTTAAATAGGTAATTCAATTTTAGATGCTTGTGATTGGATCATAACAAATTAGTAATGAAATATAATAATTTTGGCTATGTAACACGTAAAAGGTATATGCTTATTTCGGTAGTAACTAATCAAACAAAAGTTAAGCTTAATATGTGCAAATTTGTTTTTACTTTCAAAATAATCTCACATTTTGTTGCCGAGGAATGGACAAAATCTTTCTCGAAATTTCATTCACACCTAATTTATCACTTGCTTTGCATGGTAATTGTTAAGGAACTTATTTGTTATTAGGTTTTTAAAAACTCACAACGGACAATTGTTTGTTCAATTAACAATAAGGCCAGAACTGGAAAATAATGGAACCGTATGGTAAGAGATATCGATTTACAAATCAAATAGTTTCAGATTTCTAAAATACTGATTCGTTTACAAAAATAGTAATCATTTATCGAGTTAAAAAGACATTAGTAAGCTGAAATATCTAACATTTAATACTCATTAATACGGATTCGCTTAGGCAACTTAAGTAAATAAAGTTACATCGAATCATTCTTTAAGTAAAATTGAGCAATGATAGGAAATGCTAAAAATCTTTTGATTTAACAGCTCAAAAGAAAAGCTTTTTGTCAAAACTGACGCCACTTAAAAATCAATGTTGCTCAAAGTTTCGTAGGTATTTAAAAATACGTTTTAAGTGGTTTTTTAAATTAGCTAAAATTGAGTAAAGAAAAAATCCACAAATTAGTGTCAATAAAATACTAAAAAATATATGTTTGAAGTTTAAGATCTATGAGCATTTTTTTACACTTCTACTATATTTGAAATTATTCCATTAGTTGTTTAACTTTTATAGTTAGCGGTAATAGAAACTGGTGTCGTCAAATTCATTTCGCAATTTAGACGTTGGGATTCGTGATTTGTTCATTAATTGTCATATATCTCAATTCTATCCGAAAGTCAGGTTGCGTTTGTGACAGACTTGATTTTCATTTATATCTTTTTTGTCAAAATGGATATTTATATGGATATGGATATTGCTGCTGAGGAAACGTCGTCACTCTTGCATGGCCAAAAATTCATTAAGCCATTTTCTAACTTTTTTCAAACGGCCAAACAAAAATTTGCAGATTTTGATCCTGAGAGTGCTGTTCACTTGGTTGGTCCCATGTTTGAGCTCACTGCTCCTATTGATAAAGATAAATCGTAAGTGTTTAACAACTATTAAATTGTTCTTAAAGTATTTACGAAGACAGTTAATTTGCTCTTTATATACAATTAACTTACTGCTAATACTTAGCATGAATTAATTCATTTTGTATTAGGTCTCCTATATTTATTAAGTGTTGTATTTGTTTGTCAAGCCATTTTTTGTAATTGCATTATTTTTTTAAATTGATGTTTCAAATATTTGCTTAATAGGCATCAAGATTTCGATGCAGTATATCCCGAAAAATGTGTTTCATATGGTCCAACTATCTGCTCCTTCGGCCTATCTTATAATGATCACAATTATGCCAAGCCTGTTGGCTTGACTCCTCCCGTTATGGCACCTCATCTTATGGATGATTATCCTTCCAGATCAAATAACTTACCTCTCCCAATTCCAGTTGTAAAGGAGGCAATTACCGATGCTGTTGCTAATAATTCAAATGTGTCAACGGATACCGGTGCTCAATTGCTCTCTTCCTCTACATCAAATCAAGCAAAGTTCCTCATCAAAACAAAGGAAGTCAAGTCACCAACGATTACTGTAACATCCCCTTCGACATCACTTACTAATAATAGGTCTGATAGACCAACTCAATTTGATGTACCTTCTGTTGATCCTTCAGCTGGTTTATCTGACTCCAAAAAAGCTCTCTTTGCTGCTTGGCATGCGAAAGCTGCAGCTAGTGGTGGTACTTTGCTAGTTCAACATAACTGGAAAAATTCCGACACTCAACAACAATCGCAGAAAAAATCTTCCTCCGAAACAGAAGGGAATAACGGCATCACCGAAAAGCAGAATTCCGTCAAAGATCAGATTGTTCTTAATGTTCCACGTTATTGCAGAAGTCTTGGTAAAGAATCGGAGGGTGAAAGAGTTTTTCTGGAATCCGATATGAAGGTTTGTTTCTCATTTGCTTAATTTCTTAATGCTTTACTTGTCTGCTTCATTGCTTTTATCGAAGTAGGTTATTAATGAACACCACATGAGTTGTTAACCTGCCAGCAACAGAATGTGAGAAGAACTCGACAAATTGCCTACTTATTTTTAATAGTAAAATATTTCACGTTTTTGTTGTTTGTTTCACTAAAGTTGTTATTGTTCCATTCTTTCGACGGCAGCTTAAAGTTCGGAAAAATAAAGTGATTGTATATTCTATAATGCTTGAGATATTTAAACTCACTGTGCTGTTATATGCCCGATATTAACAGACGGTGTATTCGTTTCCTCATTTTGAGCAGTTTATGGTAGTATGGGTATTTTGTAGATACTCGAAGTCCCTGAAGAACTCTGTGTTTCTCCGTCGAAATTGAGCAGCCTAGACAGTTCTGATGAGGAAGATCTTTCGGGAGATGGAGCCGAAGAAAGTGAACTGAGTCAAAAGGTAGTTCTAAAATTTATTTCGACTTTCATTAATCCTTATTTCTTCATAATTTAGCCCGCCATGTGGTCAACTGTGAGCTGTGTTTGTGAAATGAAAACTGGTGATTCAAACATGATTCAGTGCCTTAATTGCAGGTATGATATACTTTTATTGTCGTTTTTATTATTTATTAGATTTTTTATTAGTACTTATTTTCTTGTCGGTAAACTTATATGGACGTGGAAATGGTGAAAGCGGTAGAGGTCAGAGCATAATTTGAGTTTTGGGTGATATATAGTACATTTCATTTTGTTCAAATGACCGAAAGTTCAATATTATTTGACCCCTTTTTCCATGTGAGTTCATATGCAAGATATTTTGAGTGTGATTGGTCTTATCCCATCCGATTTGTTTGTATTTTCTTCTAGCTGCACTAAAATTCACCCAGAGTGAACTTTAGCTATGGTTAATTTTTGTTTTGCGATTCTTACTTCAATTTACAACTTCCTCCGTGGTAACTCGTCAATCAGTTTCCACTAAGTTCTTCACAAGTGGGGTATTTCCTTGATTTCTTGCTGTTGTGGGTCGACATTAAGTTTCACTCTTCTATTTTAAAGCGTCTAATCCAATCATAAGTGACTGCTCTACATAGCAGAGTCCACATCAATCTGTTGTAAAGATTCTATGATCTGAACAGGTTTCCAATTTAGTTTATAAATTTTCTGTTAGCTCTGATCTAAAAGCTTGCCATTTGAAGGGTTGAAAATTGCTAGCTGTTTTAGGATGGAATCTGCCTTGATCTTGACCTTACACGGAATGATGAGACAGATGTGTTATTAAGAAAGTTCTGAAGATACGTTTGAACTTGTACATCTTAGTTCTATTTAAAGGTATGCCATTTTTCTGAGTATTTATTGATTCCTTCGTTTAATCTCTGAGGATTTACATTTTTAGTTCTCTATACTCGGAACAATGATTTTCCTTAGGGTGATTTCAGCGTTTCTAATATGTTAAGAGTTGGTTTGAGCAATAGCTTTTCGGATTTACGCATTAATGATCTAGTTTTCTCTTTTGTACTAAAGGTCTGACCTCTTTCCAGCAGTGTTTCGAGCATTTAAAATTATGAAAAGTCTTTACTAAAAGTGTGGTCTTATGATAATATTCTGATATTACTTTAATGACTGGTTACTTCTAGGTTATCAGTCAATGCATATGTAGCAAGAATATTTAAAAATTTTGTTTTTTGTTACGGTTAAGTTGTATAACTAATGCTCTACGCATACATTTGTGTATTCTTAGGTATCTCCAGCACTTGGATTGTATGAACATAGCATATGCCGATGGAGCCTGCACGGACGAAGCTAATCCCACTGCAATTACTCCTAAGGATAAACTCTTAGATCCTGCCACCTACTTGTGCCCTTCCTGTATTCGTCCCACGTTTACTCTTAGTTCCGAATTGTTTGCACGCGTTATCGCTGCACAGAAGGAGAGGGAGACGAATAAGCAGAAAACTCTCTACTCCTTCGTGCAACATAATTCTGGGAAAGCTGACCCACCCAGGCGTCCTATTGGCGGTGCTCACCTGATTGCAAGTGCTACGGATCGGGCACGCCAGCTGGGGCTCATTGGTGATGGAAGTGGACCAGGATCCACTACAAGCTCTAAGTCGATTAACTACCCAAGTACTGATGAACGGGTCAAAATGGTAAGAAACATGTTGCTCTTTGGTAGATTTAGTTCTAAGATTTTGTCTTGATCTGGCATAATTTTTGTTGTTCGTTATTGTAATTGGTAAATCTACCTTTATTTTTTCACTCAATGTGTAAATTCATGCGCATAACAACTATTTTCTATCTCCGTTCCATAAACCTGTTTTTATGCTTCTAGGTAAATTTTTTATTTTGATAAATTCCTTATGCTATTTTTTTTAATATTACTATAACATGCTAAATATATGTGTCTGGTTACTTTCTAATGTAAGCCATTCTACAGTTTGAAATATAGTAAAAATGAACAATACATGTTACTTTTTTCGTCTATACGTTTTGGGTTTTTAGGGAACATCATTTAGTTCCAAGGTTAGTTGACAGTTTGAATGGTTCTCGTAGTTTTTATTTTATTGCTAACTTTACTGCGCTACCACTTTATGGAAAGTAGTGATTGATTGCTGTACCAAATTAGTCCTTTTATTTATTTGATCTGCTATTTATTTGTGTTGATAGTTTGTTAATACAAATCAGTCATTTCCAATTTAGAAAATTTGCAATTTGTCCGATTTGTTTTTATCTTATTATTATTGGCTTCTATAGGAAAGTGTCGTCAGTATAAATATCTTTATACCTATCCTTACTTTTAATCTGTGGACATTGTCTTCCAAACTTGTAGTTCTCGTAGAGTTGTCAATTTAATTTGAATTCCTTGCCTTTGTTTTTATTAATGTAAATATAAATATATTGTGGTAGGTTATTTGATACGATTGAGAGGGTATTTTACAAAGCGAAACCGCACACCGTTACTCAGATTACGATGAAGGAAATAAATAAAGTAGAAGTACTGTGATTTCGATCATTGTATTGAATTGTGATTTGTCAGAGGTGATAAAACCATTCATCATCAAGAGCGGGGAAACATGAGTGACCAGAACGAATCAGATGACGAATAATCATTAGCCCCGTCGTGTCGATTGGTTATTCATGTAACCTGCTATTTATTTATCCATTTCATTCACTTATGCCTATTTTTTGCTATTTCGTACAGAACTGTATTGAGCGACAAAATAATGAATCCACTGATATCAACTTACGAATTCCTTCACCTCCTCGGGCCTCTAAGAGAAAGCAGGATCTTAAATCAAAGCCATGTACGTTTTTTTCTACTTCCTCAAATTTCAACCGACTTCTTAATTGTTATGTCCATTTAATAAAAATGAGGAGTTTCCCCATTGTAAAATTGTATTAATCCCACCATGTCTATTCAAGTATTTTGATATGAAGAAAGTGAAAGCTACATAAATGATGTTGAAACGTAGGGAGCGGAGCCAAAAAAATCTGTTTATTGATGCCTTTTTTCAAAAGGAAAAGTCAGATATCTATATGATTATAATGTATAGAAAGATTGTTCATGAAATATTAAAGGCACAAAGTGAGCGAAAGGTGAAATCTGACCACAGAGTTTTTGTTTTAGCTTCTTTATGACCACTGTTCTTTCATGTAAAGTTACTAGCAAATGCTTCCGCACTGGCCATTGAGTTTTGTTGTTTAACCGATTTTCGATTGCTTAGTACTATTTTATGTAGTGGTTTTCATATTGGTTTCATGGACAATGTAGTGGGGTTGATTGGCGATGCAGGCAAAATTATACCCAATCACTTAGTGGATTAAACAACTCAAACAGTTACTATCGTATATTTATTTTCCCATCATATTTAAAGAGTAGTCAGTTGATGCAATATCCTTGTCTGCTTATTTCATCGAATGGAAATGCTTAGTTGCTTACTACATCTGCTTTCTCCCAATAGTCGTTGAACAACCACCTGCTATAATCAAGCCAAGTCCCGTTGAAAACGAGGAACTGAGATCCCCGGGTACTCCTAACGCTCATATTCTTCCTAGTGGACCTAATGCTCCAACAGTTTCAAATACTCCCCTTCGTCTTGCATATCAAAAAGGTGTCAAGATCTATTCCTCTGATGGAACTGACGAAAGATCACCCAACACCTCCCTCCTTTCCTCAACCGAGAAGATCCCGTTGACAAGTCCTATGGGTATTATTAACAGCACCAAGAAGAAAAGGTTAGTTTTGTCTCTTTAGTAAATTGGGTAGGTTTTTGGTGGGTGTGGAATCGAATATCATGGCGGTTGTTTGCGCGTGCTTTACTTTATAGGAGTTTAAACAGCCATTGCTCGTTATTACTATCAGCGGCTCAAATGTTGTATTCACGAAAGTATTAATCTCTAGCTGTAATTCGACATTCCGATCATTTCCACTCCCCCGTGAATATTCTCGCTCCCTGTCTCCTTGTTTATGTTATAATTGTGGCTTTTATTGTCTTAAGGGTTGTTGGTTGAAATTGTGAAGATAGGTTGATATTTCCGTGCCCGGGACAATCGTTCAAATCCAAATTATATGAAATTAGACGAACTTTGATGTTGAAAATGATCGAAGATGGAGATACCTATTCATAAAGAGCAGTTATTTAGATTATATGCTATTTTAGATAAATGCATTGGTGCGCTTAGAAACGCATGAGTCGATCACCTCGGAGATAATACAGCCAAATATGACTACACCCGTTTACTTAGTCTTTGACCTCAGTCATTTTCCATCCCTTTCATAATCACAGCATTTTAGGTGAGTCAGTTAAATATTCACAGTTTAGTTAGACTGTATTATTTTTTTCTATCAGCTTTATTACTTAAATATCACTCATTAGTGGAAATTATTCGAACAGTCTTGGATTAAGTTCTACAAATTTAATGTATTTAATAATTAAGAGCTCTTGGCTACCGTAGTTCGTTTAACCCTCGTGTCAAATCAGTCAAAACATGATTAATTTCAACTATGTTCACTGTTGAATAATCATTGAAGTGGGTATGAATGAAAATTATGGTAGGTGTTTATACAAGTTTACTCCCGAATTCTCATTACGGCTTTAGGCAACTGTTATCTACAGTACACTTATTCTTCATTTAGGTCAGGATTGTGCTCTGAATCTCCCCAACGCATGTCTACTGGAAAAAGAGGATCGAATGTAGGATCCACTCTCGGTTCTGCATGGGCTAAGGACTATCGAGAAGCTGATACAAATGTTTTTTCGGAAAATCTCCTCAACTATGTTGATCAACGAATGTAAGTGCAATGTTGAGTTGCTACTTCATTATTTATATCACCATTGTAAATTTGGCGGGTGAATATATTACACATGCTTTCAAAACTTACAATTAATGTATCAGCTATATCCATTCGTTTTGTTAATTATGCTCTTACTAAGATTTCATTTTCCAATCAGACTGTTTATGTCGTCTATATCGGTAACTAAGTCAATTCTACTACACTTATACATGAATTTGTTTATTCTTTCCCTTTCCTTTTTTATCTTACTGTACTTTATACATTATTTTGTCCCTTTAAATAATAACGTTGTCTTACTCCTACCCCTTTGTTGGTTACATAAAGCACTTGGTTTTTTTAATTATTTCTCCCATTGTAAGGAAGTAGTATTAGTTCATTCCTTATTCTATTTGATGTTATTAAGAACTCTCGAAGTGTAGTTCAAACCTTATTTGGATATTAAATATTCTGATAAAAATTAATAATCTCTGCACGTTTCACCATTTCTTTTGCAGATTCACTCATTTACATCTGTGTACTATTGTTATTTATTGCACAAGCTTTTCCATTTATTTTGTAAGTATTTGTGTCCAAATTCTGGGCAATTCTCTGCTTTCAATTTACTTGAGTATGGGTTAACCTTGTAAAATATATTGCGTTTACTTCGATTTGTTTTTTTTCGCTTAACAAACTACTCTTGAAGGGATTGCTTAGCTTTCGCTAAAGCATTTTATTACGCATTTCTAAGTATAGTTATGTTATGCATTTCGTTTCTGAACAACTCAGTCAATTTCATCTATTTTGAATCAGCCTATAAGTTTTTTTGATTTTGATAAGTGTAATTCTTCTTAGTCCGCTATTTTCTGCACATTTATTCGTAGCTGATAAGTTTGAGTAAGTAATTGCCCTATTGTTGTCTATCCCCATTAAAGTTTTATCCACGTTCATCTTGATTGGAAGATATCCTGCAGTGTCCCCCAATATAGCTGTCTTCCATCGAACGATGATAACCAGTGCATCTGTTTGTCCGATAATGGGTTACCGATGCATATTGACATTAGCTTCTTTACTTCATTCCCTTTTTCTCTTAATTTGAATGTATTTAATCGTCAATTCTGCTGCCCTTATTTGCAGTAAAAGTGGTCGAGAACGCATCCAACGGCTGACTCCTACTTCCCTTGGTCGAACTCCTCTCTGTCGGGTTGTCATGTTCGATCATGATGACAAGGTGGGCATAATTATTTGGATTTAGTCCTATCAAATTTCTCTATTTCATTCCCTTCCTTCTCTCTGTTCATAGGGTCTTGAAGCATCAGCACGTCTTGGAAAGGGTGAAGTCGTAACCGAACTTCGAGGAAACCTCATGCTCATGGAAGAGTACGAGCACTTTGTGGATCCGATTAATGAGTAGGTTTACAGATGTTCAGTTGTTTTCATCTAATTCCTTTGATATTATGTTTCTTAAACTCTTAATGCTGAAATTTAGGTCCAATCGTTACGTAATGATTTATCAAAACTTTGGTGATCGTGCAATTGCCATCAATGCCACACAATATGGTAATGATGCTAGGTTCATTCGTCGCTCCTGCATTCCCAACTGTTTTGTAAGTCAGCTGCTTAATAACTTTTGGTAAATTATGCATATTCAACCGTTCGTACTCGGTTTGAATTTTGAAATTGATCGTTAAGTTTTTTGCTGCCTTATCTTCTTGATTTTGATAAAGATTTTTTATAATAAACACTTATATTTGAACTGTGCTATATTTCATCGCTATTTAAACAGCCGAAAAGATGTTGACAGGTTTAATACGCGCAATTATCAAAACTAGTTTGCAAGTTACGTAGCACTTTAATTCATTTCATGTTTTGTCATCCGAAGCTGATTGCTTTGTCAAGTGACTCAAACTTTATATCACCCTCAGTTACTAGATCTTCTTGCCAAAGGTACCTTAGAGACAAATTCTGCATAGTTTTCAAGTTTTAGATACGTTGAGATTTGTGGAATTTGGTGATTATCTTCGAAAATTTATGTCTCTTTGTAAATCAGCTTTTAATTTTCTTATTCTAAGGGCTATATTTGTGTGTTCTAATGTCGATGTACTGTTCCTTTTAGTTTACTTCGCATTTCTGTCTTGAAATTGAATAGATCTTAATAAAGGTCATGTTCGACAACAGAATAAATTTGAATAGTGGTTGTACTGTTTGTTGCATTCAAAATAATTTTTATAGAACTCTACGAGCTCACTAGCTTTGACTAACAGTAGGAAGTGATCTGTTGTACTTAGCCAGTGCAATTAAAAATAATTGAGCAGAGTTTAGGCTAAAGCCAGATTGTTAATTTTGAATTGCTTAAATTATTTAACGCTCCGTGAGTTCTGTGTAAGTTCTTCACAACTATCAAAGTCTGTTGCACTTTTGCTTTAACAGAATGGCTGGTTATGACGATTTTTCCTTGTATCTTTTGCAACTATGAACAGTCAAATAAGACTACCGAAGTATTTTGAATATTAAATATAAAGACAAACATCATCCAAAAGTAACTAGTACTATATTTATTTTGTTTTAGCTTGATCACTTCATAGTGTGCGATAAACTGCGCATCATAATTCGCACTACGCAGGAGCTGATGCCCGGTGTAGAGCTAACCATTCCTTTCGATTTTGACTATCGATCCTGTAGATATGCTGTTAAGTGTGCTTGTGCTCGCTCCCGCTGTCCTGTACAAAAATGGTGCCGCAAACTTGCCCGTAATAAAGTTATGCCCAACTTGGACTACGGCAGATATATTGAATATCGACTTAACGCGTAAGTTGTTTATTGAATATTTCCATCTTTTTTGTTTATTAGGCTACGGCTAATCAGGCCTTATTTGAAATAGACAGGGTACTGACTCCATTACATCTCTAGACATATTTTGAAAATTTTTAAATTGTGTTTCGTTTGGCTGGGCCTTATTTCACAACCGATAATTTCTTTTAATGCTTCTCATATCCCAATCGGCAAAGTAACTATTCAGTGGGTAATCGGTGAATTTTGATTGATTTGGTCTTTCCATAGCCTGTTCTGATGGCATTGAGGTGGTTCCATCACCGTGCCGATTGCGTAGGATTGGCATCAATTGAGTACAATTAATTCTATATTTCTCGTAGGCGAAGAACCTCTTTCTTGTAGCATAAATTATGACCTAATGTAGCAATAGGCTGTTTGTGCATAGTCACACCCACACCTACTCGTTATATGTCTGCGTTCTTTGTTTTTTTTTGGCAATTAATAGTTCTGATTTTAAGTATTTCGTCGTTCTTAAGGTCAAGAATAGATTCCTCTAGTGTAACATATCTCTGCCTATTGGATTCCTTCACCCAAACTTGGTAATTTGAACAATTACTTGGTCCGTATCAGTAAATTAATATGCGTTTTCTCGTTTTACACGAGTTCAGGAAGAGATGCCTTCCTTTAGCAAATGATTATTTATATATCTTGCTCCTGATGTTTTCAGTTTGTCTAAACCGATAACCGATGACCAATCGCCAACAACACCAGGTAGTAGCCGTTCATACTCAACAGATAACTCTCCCGTTCCTTCATCCTCTCACAAAATAATGCTTGGTAATACTCCTACTCCAACATCATCTACTACTCAACGTTATACACCTACTTCCTCCAATCGGCCCTTCCCTGCTGCCCGTCTTTTCACTTCTCCCACACCTGCCAAAAATGCTCCCATTCCATCCACGTCTAACTGCCAAGTTCCTGAGAAATCTCCCACTGACGCTGATAGTTATAATGACGACGAAAATGCACCGACAAAGACACCGACGGCAAATCCCAACCCTGAGGCAGAAGCACCTTTGACAAAGATTGATCCCGTAGAGGAACAACAGCGGCAACTTTCTGCTTCAACAGTAGATCATGAAAAGCCTCATCGAGAGGATCCTCCACCGCCGTCCAAGAAGCGACGTTCAACGAATACGGATAAAGCGAAGGTTGGTGAAAAGTCCTCTAAGAAGGAGGCTATTCTGGATATTGTAAGTTTGTAGTCTGAAGATCGGATGTGTGTATTAACATGTGATGAATTTATTTTGTATGCTTTATAGCCTCCATTTCAACCGATCATTACAACAAGACGACAGGCAGCGAAATTTGCTGCTATTGCGACGAAGAAAACACCCTCGACAAGATCATCTTCGGGCAGCTCTAAAAGACGAAAATAGAGACCTTCTATCTATTGCGACGCATTTTGTTGCATTTATTCTGTTACTAATCATAATTTATGTAAATTTGATGTATAATTTGATATATTTCTATGAATTTTGTTAGTCGTCTTTTTTTCGACGTTACTATTGTTTGTCTTTGCTTTCCACATATTTAATGTAGAGTATGGAGTTGAACTAGTCCAAAATGAAGTTCGAAGGTTCATAGGTGGGAGGTTTCTGGGGTGATGGACACATTCGAATTTTGGGGACGACTGTATTTAGAAACTGGTGGAATAACGGGTTATTAAGATTCTAAATTGAGACTTTGAAGAAGAAATAGGCTGAGTGAAATTTGTCCAAATGCTAAAGTTTTTAAATTATCCGATTTTTTATAACTATTACCAGTATATTAAATAGGAAATTCTAGAAACCAAAATTTTGTAAGTTATTGCTCTAAGTCATTTTTATTGGTTATAAATTTGTGTTCTCTTGCGTCAATGAATCAAATGCTTTTAAAGCTTATTTTCAAATTTATGCTTATGTAGTTTTAATCTACTAAAGTTCTGGTTATTAACAACAGCGTATCAAAGGTCTGGAATATTATTCGTTAACACATTGGCACCTAACTAAATATATCGTTCTGCCGTAATAGAATGGAAAAAAAATCACACAATATTAAAGTTTATATAAATTAAAAATTTAACTTTCAGAAATGTACAACTGTCGAAAAGGAACATGATGAACCAAAAAATAATTGTCCATCAGACAAAGTAGTTCTTGGAAAACTGCGAGGGTCCTTTTTACGAGATCTGGATAGACACTATCCATCTGATTATCAAATATCAAATGCGTTTCCTCATCTGGTAAATTTCAATATATCTAAAAGTTGTAGGCATTTCCATGGTTGAACCAATCGGTTGATGAAGCAAGCAAGATTACCGATTATATCTATAAAACCACTTATCAAATGTAGGATATTATTATTACATTATACTTTAAGCGCCACGGAAAATCAAAGTGTGCAAGAGAGTGCTAATGATAAAGAGTTTTACCCGGTTTCAAAACTCGAAAAATTAGCTAAACCTTTTACGGTTCCATTCTACGGACGAAGAAATACAAACCAAGTAACTTCAAATACCTTGTCAATATACCCATTACCCTGCAGCGACAAGAATGCAAGGATCCATTTAAAATTTTACCTAAACAGTGTGAGTCCATTTACTATCATTAGCTATAATGTAGTGAAGTTAACCCCAATATCAAGGAAGAGCTGATACCAATGGGCAGTTGTGAATGCTCTGAAAAGTAGGTTGTGTTGCGTTATATATGCTTATGGAATGTGTCAATAATTGAAATTTTTAATATGTTCCGTAGCTTATATGTATAAGCAATCTTTATATTCAGCGATGACAAATCCTTGGTCGATTTAAAAAATCAGGCCAAAGTAATGGATAATCTATACATTGGACAACCAAACATGCTGGATGAAGAAGAATTGAGAAAAACCAGATGGGAAAGAGTAACTGATCTTCCGAAGCCAAGACCATGGTGTTCTCAAATCATTGATACTGAGAGATTTAATTGCAATCGGAAAATGCCCAGAAGTGAAAAGTAAACAGTTGCTAAATAAATATTAAATGTGAATAGAGCTCTGTAGGCCGAGGCTCTATATATCAGTTGTAATTAATATCTGCTCTTAACTAACTCTTTTACAATGGATTAAATGCTTTCACTAGTCACACGTTACGAACCAAATCAATTCAATGCCTCCACCATCTTATTTGTGTAAATGATTTTTTTCCTCAAAATGAAGAACTACTAGAGTTCTAAAAAGTAATTCCATTATCCCAACTTTTTGAAAAAAATAGTTTATGCAAACTTATTGTTCCTAAAATGCGTTTAAATGTATTCGAAAATAGCAAACAGTAAAAGATATCACAAGCACTTATTTACATTCGAATAAAGGGCATTCATTTGCAACCCTTTTGTCGTCTTATACCGGAACGAAGTATGTTGAGCTCACTGGCCTATCCTCTTTATTCACTTAATCGACTCGAATTCATTTGACCACAAATTTTATCATTATCTCCGTATGCCATTAAATGGTGTTATTTATGTGTGAACATAAACGCCAGATTAACTAGAAAAGCATCGATATGAGGTGATAAGTACTACCCCGAAGCTATTCCATCAGTGAAATGAATTGAGGCGAGTATTCTCATTAAGCGGCGTCAATAATTGAATAGTGAACGGCATCATTTCATCCGTTCACTTGATGTACTTAGTCAACTAATACTTGCGAGACAACCCAATTTTCTTCGAAAATAAAGATAGGCTTAAACCGTGGGACTTAATGAAATCTTCTTAATTTGTTACGAGACATTCCCTCAACACTTCTTTTAAATTAAAAAGGCTATAGACCCATAGTCCTCTACTCCTATTTTCAGAGAAAGTTGCCTCTTCACACTGCCTGTAAGAAATAAAAAATACGGATCTGCATTTTGGGCAACAATTTTGAAACTTTTCAAATTTAGCAAGCACGACTTCCCCTAGTCCTATCCATTCAACGTAGGGACGGAAAGGGGGTTTCAGCTCGAATGTAGTCGCAACGGCCAGGGCATTTTTGAGATCTAAACTTGGTGGAGGAGTAATGAATTTTTGAAGAAGCAAAAGCAAAGCAAGCTAGCGTTCCTTTAGGTAGCATTAGGACTGCCAATCTTTGTTGCTTGAGGAAAGTAAGCTATCAGAAAAGTTAGGATAAACGAATTTAGGCATAGAGGATTCCATAGAGAGCGAGTTTTCGTTACTATTACACTATTTCTGACTGACGGGTGCAAAACTATGGCATCAATGGCCGCCTGAATAGAAAGCACAATAGAAGATCGTAGAACATCAAAAGGTAGAGAACAAAATTCGTGAAATTATGAGAACACTGTTAGTATATATGATAGGAGCATCGCCAGAATGTTTAGTTTCAAGCATTTTTTGCAAAAGAAGCTTTTTCCCTTCTGCAGACAAATTTCCAGATGACCTGTAAGGAATTAAGTAGTCCACCTTTTGTAGAGAAGCCAAAACACTTCGCTTATGGTAACGCAACATCGACGAAGATGGTAAGTGTTCGCTACTTGCCATGATTTTATCAGCCTTCCAGAAGTCCGCGAGTTCAATAATAATATAAGGCTTAGATAACTTCAAGAGTTTACTCAAAATTACATATTTTAGAACGTTTTAACAAAATTTTAATTTTATAAATATTCCCCAAGAGATTGTTGAAATAATTTCCATCCAACAGAAAGCATTGTGATACATACTCAAAATTAGAAACTAATACGCTTTCAAAACATAATAAAGAAACACCCTCTTCTCAGAAATAAAAACCACAAGATGCGAGATTGAGATAGGGGCCCGACCAAAAGCAACAGAGTTAGTAAAAATCAACAAATTGGATTTTTTATCACTCACCAGCACATACCCAGTCGTAAACTACAGAGGAAAGAACAATTAGGAATAGGGAAGGGGATGGTTAAGTTTATCCCGATAATAACAATTTCCCATCAGTCCAGAGCTCATTTTGGATGTCCTGAGCGATCATCAAGGTACCTCCTTGTAAAGTCCTGAAATACTGGCGCGGTGGAGGATAAATTTTGATATATACGTGTAGTAGCGCCATCCTCATTCTTTCGGATTTGCATATCATCTGTCATGCTAAATATGTTATCTATAAGTTGGGATTTGGAGGTTTGTCGAGTAGAGCTCGAATTACCATTTGAGAAGATAGTTGGAGATGCAGTTCGATTCGGTACGGGAATCGATCCCGGAACCTCTCCCTCCTCTGAGAGACTCTTTTCGGAGTCACTTGGAGTGAGGGGAATCTGTTCTAGCTCATCGAAATCTTGTTGAGACAAGGGTAGCACGCCATTCGAAATGTGCGGATCGACGATATTTCCTACAATGAAAAATGGACATCTAATTAACTACTGAAAAAATTAAGTAGATAGTTTGATGACCATGCAGCAGGACTAAACAACATGAAAAAGTCTGCAGGAATCTACAAATTAACTAGCAAAATTAGACAAGGGAAAGGCACAGAATTAAATAGATAAAAGCAGGTATGACGTTCGTTAAAGTTGAAATTAGCTAATAAAAGAAGACGAGGATATGATAGCCACAGTGTGATATCGATCTTCATTATCCATTTGAACCCCAAATGTGACTTTCAATTTAATTTTACTTCCATAGTTACGCTTTACATATTTTTGTAAAGTGATTCATAGCCTTTTCCTTATCACATTTACTAGTAATCACGCCTTAATTTTAAAACTCCATACCACTATAAAATTGATTTAAAAATGCAAAGATGTGGCAAATACTGTTATTAATTAAACAGCAAAGCGGTTAGGTGGTAGGTACTAAGTAAAAGAGATGCCAACATAGTATTTCCACTCGGCAGTTTGTCCATTTACACCAGGTGTATTGAAAAGTTCGTATAACGCAAAATATACTGTGATCGATTAAAACACTGAGGTAACTCATAATTAAACTCAATAAAACACCTTTTCGACATTCAGATCTACCTACTAACATAAACTTAGATGGGAATTTTCTCGCTGTCTCAATAAGAATGCCTTGTGTAAAGGGATAATAATAAATTCCATAAAACTCTGATACTATATCTCTGAAATGTGCGCGATAGATTTACCTCCACGCGGTGCACCTTGGCAACGTATACCCATACGGCAAAAAAAGTCTATTAGCTGGAAGTTGACTTCTGACTTCAAACTACCATCACCCCACTCTATGTCATATTCCACTACTTCCACAGTACTCACTTCACCTTTTTCTACCTTTGTGTCTGTCTCTCTTTTACATCTTTGAAACCCTCTTCCCTCTCCCCCACCCCTTCTCGACTTTTTCACTTCGATTTTCCTTCTCCTCAGTGAAGCCTGAAGTCAACTAAAGGGCAAATGATAGCTATCATAAAGCCTGCCATTTGAAATAAATATCTCTGATATTTTATAATGTAACTCACCCATTTCATCAAAAACTTCGAATTCTTTATGCGTCCTCGCGTCAATAGTAGACTTCGGTGATGGTACCCTTTGCCTAGGACGACTTTCACCCGAAGTTATGATTATATCACCAGAGGCCTTGAAATTATCATGAACATTCAGTGCCTCTTTAAGTTCGCGTTTATCTCTCTACAATTGAAGATGAAACAATCGGACAAATAATGGGAACAAGAATGAGTAAATGGCTCAAATAAAAACACGACTAAACTTCAATTAAATCGATCGATTAATTATTGGTCAGATCAAAGTATCATGATCATGAACCATCACTCGGAAATCCAAAGGCTACAGAGGTAATTTAGACCTTTGTAAAAACCCAACGAAATGGAATAACGAATAGTAAAGAAAGGTCCCAATATTTATTTTATGCTTACGCTTATTCTAAACTAAACCCCATGCATCTGGTTAAAATTTACCTATAGAAATCTAGCGAATAAAATGTCAAGTGTCGGAAAAAAATAATTACCTCAATGAATTCCCACGGACCAAATTTTTCAAGAAGACGTTGCCTCTCCGATTCAGAAGAAATTGGAGCATCCCCACGAAGTTCTTCAGGGCTAGTGGAATCAAATCGATCCAACTGAAGTTGGAGATTTTCCGTTGGATGTGCCGGAGGAAGACAACCTTGAATGGTCGAAACCGCTATTTTACTATTCAAATCGTACAAAGTCATGAGGTAAGCAGCTACGACAGCCACATTTGCCGAAGTCCCTGATTCACTATAATCAGTAAATAAAATAAATCAAGCCGGTATTTTAGGATCAATTAGCACAAGTATACAATTATATTACCTATAAACAAGAACGTTCCCGCCTACCATCCGCGAGTGGTGAATAAAATCATTCGTTTGAGGGATAACTCTGAATAAAGCTCTACTGACCGGTTTTCCAACATACGCCTTTAGATATTCGTATTTAGAAAGCTAAAATGGTGAAAATTTTGGAAAAAGTAATACAATAGCGAAACTGCATGAAATAGCAACATCCAATTGAATATTTTATAAAACCGAACACAAACCCGGTACAAAACACAAAACTTTTATAAATATAAACCAGAAGAATTATTCATTACCTTACTTATTTCAGCATCATCCGATTGAACTGCCAATATATGAGTAATACATTTGGCGATAAGTTCAGTTTCATCCCTTGCAGTTTCATTGGAACCGATATATAAATTGGGAATTATTTTTGTTATTTGGCTACCCATATTCGCCTATCAGATTGAGTAATTAGAGCACCCAACTGAGGCAAATATTTACCACAAACTGAGTAAAAATTTTCGGCCTTGAAGATAACTTATTCGCAAGTCTATTTTAAAAATCATCATCCAAAAAACAATAATACAAAGTGATAACAATAAGCGTTAATATTAATTAATAATCTAGTATATTTTATGCGTAGTTTACTATTTTAACTATTTTTCAAATCCTTTTGGATTTAATCATTCTGCAAATTATCTATTACAAAAATAACAATCCGAAATGGCATTTATGAGAGCATTTAGGCAGATGTTTGTGATATTAAAGTTTCAGTATCGGTTCATACTCAACTTATTATTCTTTCTGGGAATGTTTCTTTATTAATTGATCAATTAATTACTTTTTTTGATTCCAATGGGATATTTTTAAATGCGCTTCTTTTCTGAGCTTTACATTGCATATTTAATGTGGTAATTCCATTCTTTCCATTGTACTTTTATTTCGCGTTCTTTGCGCAAACCTTATTCGCATTTAGGGAACGTCGAAGATTGTGCAATATAGTAGGCAGTTGCATTCATAAAAAGGAGCTCACGCCTGTGCAGGATCATCAATCAGGAAATTCAATCATGATGAAAAGGAGAAATTCTGCTTCTTATATTACCCGGTTTGGTCCAAGCGTAGAAACAACTAAGTTGATTGGCACTTATGATGAGGGGACACAAACCGAGCACAATGCTGAAATGATAAAAGGATTTAGCCTCCTCAAGCACATTTTACAGGAGCTAACAAAAAGGCGAAAACACTGAGTGGTTGAAATATTTTCTTCAATGTTATATTTTGTAAATAAATGTTAAATTTTTACATTATCAGCGCAACTTTTGTTTCAAATATACCTAGTTGTCACTATTAAAAAAATTTTAACACTGATTAGGGTTCAAAGGGCTAATAAATTTTAATGTATGCACTCTTATTATCACATGTTAATAGTATTGTCTTCATTTTTTTCATGAGAACTTATGCAAATATTGAAATTACTGAGTTTAAACTTGATTCAGTCAATTTTGAACATTATGATTTATGACCTAAAATTGACGTTAAAGATTTCATTCAGAACAAGGAAAATATATTTAAAGCTGCATCGATAAAGCAGTTCGTTTGGGAAATCGATCAAAATAATATCACTTAATGTATTCTGTTTTCTGAAATCTATTAACTATAGTATAGTTCAGTTATAGTAACGATTAAGTTAATAATGGAATTATTGGAAAAAAATTGAAAGGCATTTTTTCTGAATATGGGAAACATGAATTAGCGTAGATTTCTCCTATTATTATACACACCTTCATTATTTATTCAAGTTAATAATATATGTATCTCAATTATTAAAAGTTGCAAGGTGAACAATAAATGAAAATATATCAATACAAATGAAAGCTATTTTATCAATTATAAATTACGCATATTACTTTACGCCGCGCATTACGAACGCTCTGTTCATTTTCGGGTGTTAGTCAGCGTACTCAGTTTGTAGTCATCTTTGATTTTTTCCTCATTCATTGTTGATTTCATTAAAATGCAAGTTGATGACGACTGTCAAACAGTAAGATTATTGTTTATTGTTAACTAATTAATCAATCGTGCCTTATTTTCAGCATTTATGTGTTATTTTTTGAGCATGTTTTCAACGGGTAATTTTATGTCTCCGCTTCTCTGTTTTGCCGTGTGCTTGTAGTTAGATTGCCATCATTAGGACTTTTTTATCATATTATTATTTAGACGTGGAAACTCAACCTCCTTAATAATTTTTAAAACCTTGCCTTTTTTGTACAGTTTACTTCCGCGTCCATGTCACAAATTCCCATTAATGTCTCCCAGTTCTCAAGCGCATCTACTCTTACTTCGCTTGTTGGGTCCAGTACGCCTGTCGCCAGCACATCCCAACTGTATGACCAAAGACCGCCACCGGCCCATCATCATTTTTCTCCTCATTCACCTGTCCCAATGCCGCATTTAACAGGAGTGCCCGGGTCCACAGATCTGATCGGGAAGCAACAATCTTTGGGGATTAATAATGCCCTCTTTATGCAGTATCTTCAAATTAGAACTCTGCCATTGACCAGGAAGGTCATCAAACAGGGCTGGCTTATGAAGCGCGGTGAACACATCAAAACATGGCGGCGACGATTCTTTATTCTTCGGGAGGATGGTACTTTCTATGGATATAAAACCATTCCGAGTGTGAGGTTTTGCTTCTTAAATTGTGCTCTACCTCCGTTCATGACTTTTTGTCTACAGCGATTTTCGATTAGGGATTTTAGTTTTGACTTAACATATTCCGTTACTTTCTCTTTTATTTATTCTAATAGATATAACCTTCATTGATGTATTTGGAATATTTGATGCTGTGTTAATTCGTTAATATGAATAATTGTCTGCAAAGTAAACAGTGACAATTTTTGTCTTTCAGTGAATATTTTTTTAAATAGGAAATCCATGACTTAGAATGTTTCCTGATATTCTTTTTGCTTAACGGTGCATTTTCTATACATTGAACTTCTGTACACAATTCAGCACGTCTCTTGTCGTGGCGCACTGTAGTATCGATCCTTACTCCTAGATTTTGTCTTCTCCAGGATAACTTGGAGCAGCCGTTAAACAATTTCACAGTTCGTGATTGTCAACTCATCTGTTTAAACAAACCCAAACCCCACACTGTCCTGATGCGAGGTCTTCAATGGACCACAGTAGTAGAACGCCTTTTCTTTTTTGAGCATCACTCAGAGCGGGACGAGTGGATAAATGCCATCCAACTTGTTGCCAATCGACTTCGCTCGGAGAATCAAGCCCCCACCTCCGTGTACAAAGTCGATTTTGCCGATAATGTGGTCATTGACCTACCTGAGAGGTTAGTTTGATTTTTATGTTTTCATGTTTTAAACTTTCTTTGACGTCTCTCAAAAATGAGGTACCTACTTAAGTCTAAGTGAAGTCCTTCGATACTGATATGAAATTTAGCACGAGCACCTGTTTTGTCACTGAATTATCGCTCTATAGACAGTACTGTGGTTTATGTTGCTTAGTGTGGGCTCAGAAGGCTGACATGTTTAAGTAGGCAAAGATTCGTCTTATAAACTGGATATTTATCAGTAAACCGACTACCTAGTGCTATGATGCTAAGGTGACTTAATTATCAATGTCGGCCATGCAAGAATAGTAGTCAGAGATCCTGTTGCTCAACTGACCTGATTGTTCTTATTCAAGTCAAAGATCGGTGGTCACGACATTAATACGGAAAAGTGAACATCTAGTGAGGCACCTGGCTAACTATACTGATTTGTTGTAATCTATAAGAGCGACTCCAGAGTGTCTTTCCTTGTGAAGGGTTGTGAATACTTTCCATTGTGATCTTGGTCATTATGTAATTTTTATGAATTCGAATCCGTAGTCAACTAGTCTATTCGCTTTATCACAAAGATCATTTAAAGTTCACACCCCGGATGTGAACAGTGCTCGTTTTATTCGGAACTTTTATAGTGGATTGTGTCTTTGGCATTGAAATAAAATCTTGCTTTGCCTATTCAGTTATTTAGAGGCTAATTTTTTTTAACTAAACCTAGTGTCACAGATATCATTTTTAATCTTTTTCTTAAAACCATGTGCACCGATTACGAAGAAAAACCCTAATATTTTATTTTTTTGAAAAGTTTACTCTTTATTTTCACTAAATTCAGTGCCATATTAAATACTGAATTCGGGTATTGTATTGCATGCCTTTCAAGGAACGATATTTCTTAGAAAGTGGAGTTTGGCCCCGTGAATTGTTCTGCGGTTCTCTCTGTTTCATTCCTCACCTTAGGGATGGCTGTGTGTATTTGCGCCTTGTTCATTTCATCTCTTTCCTCCAATTTGCTGAGTGCTGATTCACTCTACCCAAGGTCATGCCGACTTTTCGGCTTAGTTGCAGAACTTAATTGCGCCTCGCGCACTCCCACAGTAGTGCTGAAAAATAGGTCATGTGGTCGGCTCTTGGTGGACGCTTCGAGATAAATCAAAAGAGAATGTGGGCGTCTTTCAGTCAAATAAGCGGTTTTGTAAAGCGTTGATTTGGTTTCAGTAGTAGGTGGCTAGTTCAAATGCTTTAATTTAGTGAAAAGTTTGGTGATTAAAAGAAAAACTACTATATGGCATGACTTGTCACTTTTTTCAATTTGCTAATCAATGCACTCTGAACACGAACTATTGGTCAAGGTCTTAGTTGCCGAATCTATTGCATTTATAGCCTATTGAGATAAGTGCAATGAATCTTAAATATAAATTACTTAAACCCCTTTCGCTATCCCCATTCTATTCTCCATTCCTAATCGACCCCCCCCCCCCATCTCCTTTCACTTTTTTATACTATTTAGGTGCTCATATGATTAAAATTGATATCTTTTGCTCTGATTGCCATTGAAGTGAATGCGAATAGTATCTTTTAAGCAGACGTACTAATGCTGTCTATGTTTGTTTGCGTAATTAAATTAATTGTTTTACATGAGTTCTTTTGAATTTCGAATTTTATGCAGGTTTCTTAATTATTCGGGAATTCATTACAAAGCTGCTTTAAGTGAAATCTCTCGATATGCATGCATTTTATTAACTATTACGAGTTGATGAGTTTTATACTTTGCCAATCATTAGGTATGTTTTCTTGGACAATCAAACATCTGAATATCTGTAGGGTAGGCACTTTTCAATTCCCTTATTCATCTGCCTCAATTTATTTTAGCCAACAAAGTTTTTTAAGGCTATAACAGTGGTAAAATATATACAGTGGAATGAGATTATATGATTTGTATATATCAATGTATTAGTTTTTAAACATTTTTATAGGCCTCCCAAACGCTACTCCACAGAAGACTTTGAACTCTTGAAGGTTCTGGGCAAGGGTACTTTTGGTAAAGTCGTCCTTTGTAAGGAGAAGGAATCCGGTTGCTTCTACGCAATGAAAATCCTTAAGAAAACAGTCCTCATTGAGGTAAGCTCTAGCCAGTTGTCTTCTTAGCTCTTCACATTTTATTAATCACTTAAAGGAGTGACTGAAAGTTCGCATAATTATTACCATATTGGGTCTTAAGTGATGAATTCTTCTATTGAACTTATTTCTTTGGTGCTTTATAAACTTAACTCATTGAAATATCCCTAAAATCGACTGCTTATGTGAACCGAAAAAAATTCCGCTCTTGTCAGCTATTTGGCACACCAAATGACATACTTTAACATGTGTCAGATAGATTTGTTAATTTCACCCATTAGTTCATTATCTTTGGGTAGTGGATATTTTTCTTTCGCTCTTCAAATTCAATTGCTCTATTATCTGAAATCTTCGGTCCAAGTGCAATGAAGCTTGTAACTTATCCTATATTGCTTGATAATGGTCAATAGGGGAATAGCTTCTCATTAGAGAGAGACTAAGTGATTCTGCCCCTCTTTTTATTATGCTTCAATTTTATCCCCACTTCCCTATGAGATTATTTATCAATGCATTTTCTTGATTTTAACTTTTCATGAAATACGTTCTACTATTGGTTGGAAACCGTCTAGAGTAACAATGCTTGACACGAGTTTTCATGGTCATGGCACCAACGTCGTCATTGCTTATTTTCAATGGTTTTTGTTTCTAACCTCATATTACTCATATCTGGCGTTTATACTCAATTAGCCCTTTTCGTGGCCATTGTCCATGATAGCGCAAAAAGTGTGTCACAAGTTTAAATCATGAGATAACACCGGAATATGCGAAATAACAAAAGTGTTCAGGAAGGAGTGAAATTGGGGCTTAATTGGGAGTCTTGTTCACCACATTGCCCTCTATATCATACGAATTGCAATCGATCTTATAATATTCAAACATTTAAAATATCAATGCTTCTTGACTTGATCCCAAAATATCGTGAAGAATTTGTCTCAATACTTGGGTACTTTTACCGGCTGGTTTAATCATGTGGCTAGTCATGTCGTTTTGACTCGGTTGAATTTTCTTGCGGTCATTAGCTGGTAAATGGAGTTAACAAAGAAATTGCGTCGTTGCATGTCCCTCCAGAGGTTACTTAATCATTTAACGCCTGGATTATTTGTTGAAAAATTCGCCAAACGCACTCATGCGTGCCCCACTTCAGTTTTGGTGGTATAAGGCGAAGGCTATGGACGTATTGAACTTGTTTTAAACGGCAATAGCACCTTCTGTTAGGAGTCTAGTATCGATTGAGTTTTTTTTGAAAGAGGACCGTAAGACCCTAAGGGTGTTGATGGATTGGTGTGAACACACACACACACACACACACACACACACACACACACACACACACACAC